TTGAAAGCAATTACTTACTTACTGATACTTGGACTTAGTAAAAAGGTATTTTTCGTTAATGATGAAAGATTTCGATGACTCAAAGCTTGAGGAAAAAAAAAATTTGCATCTTTGTTTTTTTTTTGTCATAGCTATAGATAGAACCCATCGAGTTACCTGTAAAAATATTTTTATAGTGAAAGCTTTAATATTTATCCGAATTGTTTTTGTTTTAGATTTTACTCGTTTATATGATTAGAAAAAAAGTTATGCATGATTATTGCAAAACAAATATTATTTGATTGTTGATAACAATCAAGAATAGTGTATTCGATATTTAAAACTAACTTTCGGCCCTTACATTTTGGAATAATCTGATCTGTAGTTCTCCTAAGATCGAAATTTGATGATAAATAGTATTGAATATACTATTCGATGCAGATTTTTCTATTGATACTGAATATAATTTTTTGTTTCAATTGAGAATTGAAAATATCAGAATATGAACTCGTGTATTTATGATATTTTACTATCATGTCTTAAAAATCATGCTTAATTTTTTCCTAATCATAAGATGATTAAAATTTTAAAAAAAAACTACGGATAAATATTAGTTTTGCTTCAAAAATATTATTTGAATATGATAAGAATAACTTTAGTGAAATTTCTAATTATCAATACCTTAAGTAAAATTATTTTTAGATCGAGATACGTGTGTGCCTAATGGCCGAGGCATTATCTTCATCATTCGATCAATGGATTCGATCATTACTTAATGAATTACAATCGAATGATGCTGATATGAGTGATTTTGTTCAATATTTAATGGGTATTGTTACAAGTGACAGTGAAACAGATGAAGAAAAAAAAGTAGCTATTGCTGAATTACTCGCTGATCTTGATTTAAAAGTAAATATCAATATTTAAAAAAAAAAATTAGAATAATATATTATTTTCATTTATATTAGCATGATCATAATATTGATAATCTCAGTCAACAAATTCTCGATCGTTGGTATCAATTACAAAATACTAATGATCATAATTCAAACTCTAATAGAAACCATACCGGTAATAAATGCTAAAGACAACTATAAGTTTTTCAATTATAGAATATATCAAAGGACTTTCTATATCTAATAGTATGTGCATTATCAAGTTCAACAGGTGATGCCACCTTCGCCGCATTCTACAATGATCACGGTGAATGTGGCGCCACCTATGAACATATCTCAACGGTACTCAGTAGAGTCCGTTGGGTTCGAAATTTTCGAACAGTACTTTGATACTCTTAATGAAATTTTCTAATCTGAATTGAGTAGGCGGTCCCGAAACTGCGAGCTAGTTGTTTCTGGTTCTTTTATATTCAGCGACTAGAGTTCATTGAGTTTAAAATTTTCAGATCCAAGAGACTCTAATTAATTAAGCAGTAAAACTTTATACTACATACATCATTAGATAGATGAAGTCTTTCTCTATTAAGCGTACATATATTCCATTCTACAGTCAAAATCTCATAGTTACCATTATCTAATCATTTGAATATGAAGAAATAAAATATTTGAAATTATTTAGGGATAAACAAAGATGATGATGCTATTAATAATGCATTAATTAATGCTATGAATCAAATGGAATCAACAATAAAACAACAAAAACAAAATAATGATCATAATTCAAATAAATTTCATGATGATATTGCATTAAAAAAACATAAATCTCAAGTATTAGCAAAATATTCTGAAATATCCGATGAAGAAATTGATTATGGAATTGAACATGAAACAAATGATAATGATTTATTTCAAAATACAAATGCACAAGTTATTGAAGATCGTGAAAAAAAAACACGAGAATTACAACATGAAGTAAATCAAAAAAGATTTTTGATATTGTTTATTTGAACAAAAAAAAAATATTTTGTTGTTTTTTTAGACACATAAAAAACAACAAGAAAAAAATAAAATTGATGCTAATAGTCAAAAACAAAAAGATGACGAACGAAAAAAGAAAGCTCAACAACGAGCTCAAAAACAAGAGAGACGCCGTTAAAATAAAAACATCAAATTTTCTGTCTTCTTTTTGTTTTGAATTTTTGTGTTCAAGAACATAAAACACAATAAAAGTGATATTTAAATTTTAGATAAATTTACATATAAATTATATTAATGATTACTATCGATTATACTAATCAAATTTTTATCTCAACTAGAAACAACATGATAAACTATTCGAAAGAATTTGTTTGTAATGATTGAAAAATTTCGGTTTATTTTTAAAGTATTAGTTAAAGAACAAAAATGCTATTAAAAAAGAAATAATCCAAACTATAATGTATGTTATTTACTCGAAGATTTGTTTGATAGTTAAAGTGTATAATGTTGTAGTTGAAGATTCTTTACAATACTGATATTCTTGTTTGTATGTCTATTTAATTCATTTGTAAATATTTCTTTACCAAACCATTCAGTATTTTACTATTTTTCAAATAAAAAGTAAATCAAGACAAATATGTAACACTTTAACTTGACTATTCCAGTCGTTTGAGCTCATAAGGAGGTCTCAGTAAGACTGAATAAAAGGATTTATTCCTATGGATCTTTGCAGCCTAGTCATGACCGTTTTACTTACACCGAAAGAAATGTTCATTTGTTGAGGTACTGAATTTCCAAAACAAGATCGTTTGCTATACACATGTGGCAAAAATTGAGTGATTCAATATCTCAACAAATGAATATTTCTTTTGACTAGAAATTTCAGAGTATTCTACGAGTCATTAGACCCATTTGTAAGACAAAGCGGTCGTGACTAGGCTGCAAAGGTCCATGTTGATGAACTATTTTCTAGTTTTACTGAGACCTCCTTGTAAGTTCAAATGACGAGTTACAATTAGATGAGTTTTTTCGTAAGTATAACTACTAACAAATTATTAGAAATAGTTAATGTTTCGTGTAACCATACTTTCAGCAATCTATAACATTTTTAATAATTAATTGTTTGCTGTAAATGATCAGCTGAATAATTTTGAATAGGAAAAAGGATATCAATCAACAGGAAATCTTTAATTTCTATTAAATAAAAAACTTGTTAAAAATTTATTAATGTTGGCCTATGAAAATATTAATATGTGTCTTTAGTTCGGCTAGCCCACAATGTCGTTTTTCGTTTCCGGTTGCGTTAATATCTTATCCTTTTTCGGGCAATCTCTTTTCTAATCATTACTCTTCTAACAATGTCAATTTGAACTGCACACCATTCGGTATAATGTGCACTACATCGGCGGTACTGTAATACTTGATTGACCAGCTATCTTCTGACTACAATATGTCGTTGGCAATACGAACTAATATGTGACATCAATTGATTCTAATTGTTGTATCATATAGGCATTATTTTATTAAGAAAGTTCTTTTATCTTCTCTAGATAAAAAAGAAAAGAATGAATTTATTAATACGAACACTTGTCTCTCGACAATCTTCACTTTTTATTTGTCGTCGTCATTTAACTACAGAAAAATCACGTCGAGCATTTCGATTACCACTTCTAACAGATAAATTTCGTTCATCACAACCTTCATCTCCTCGTAATAATAATAATAATAAAAATCCATTTAGATTTATCAATGAAAAAAATATTGTTACTGGAATCATTATTGTTAATGGAATTGTTTTTATTATATGGCAATTTTCTTATGCAAATCTTCGATCAAATCGTGATCAACGTTTATTATGGTTTATGACAAAAAATTTTAGTATGTATTGTTTTTTTTTTGAAAAAATACAAAAAAAAATTATTCTACATGTAAATTTTTAGTGGTATCTTGGGATGGTGTTGTTCGAGAAAATCGTGTATGGACACTTCTTACATCAGCTTTTAGTCATTTTGATTTAACACATTTTTTGATTAATAGCTTCGTTTTGTATAGTTTTGGTAAAATATTATTTTATCCTTTTTTTTTTAAATATGATTATATTTCTATAGGTCCTCCTGTTTTAAGTCATATTGGTTTATCAGCGTTTATTCAATTATTTCTTGTTAGTGCTATTGGTTGTTCACTTAGTCATATATTTTATCAACGATTTTATGATCGAAGACCTAGTTTACCAGCTGTTGGAGCTTCTGGTTAGTTTGATTTTTCTTCTTTGAGAACATTTTCTATTAATATATGTACCGTTTCCAGCAAAACAGGACATACTCATCTGTCATTTGATTTTGATTTTTTATAAGAATTATTTTTCTAAATAAATTCTCTTAGTATATATAAAAATGTTGGCTCTTTCAACTGACTAACAAAGGTTTCTGGTGCTAATTATTTCCGAGTATCTAGAGTAACATAACATATAAAAATTAGTTAAGTTCATTATCTCGAGATATATGTATTTTAATTTTGTGAAATCATATCGCTAACAAATAAATTTATGCATACATGTTTTTCATTTTTATTTTAGGTGTTACTATGGGCATGACTGTACTCTATTCATTTCTTCGTCCATTTGATACTGTTCTTTTATTTTTTATTATACCTATGCCAGTTATTGTTGGTGTTGGAGCATTTATTACATATGATCTTTATCGAGCTATAACACATCGTCAAAAAAATATTGGCTCAGCAGGTCATATTGGTGGTGCTATTGCTGGTGCTTTATATTATTTTTTAAAAATTCGTGGACGATTATAAGAAATAGTTATTCAAGCAAAATCTATAGATTTGTTTTCTTAGCGAAAATTCATTGTAAAAAAACAGCAATGTAATATATTGAATAAATTACTCATACTTAGAGAAATTATTTGTAGTGAAAAAAAAAAAGATAAATCATAATAACTATTTGTGTTATATGATATACGAGAACTGACATTCATATCTATTTACTTTGTAATATACCATTATTTATACAAAAATTGATATGCTTCTAATTGGTAAATACTTGAGAAATAATTGGCGACAAATATATAGTATATATGTATAGGATTTATTCTGTCAGCAAAGAGTATAATAAGTTTGATCGTTATTTTTCGAAAGATGTATTTTCTACCGATATTTTTCTCTTACATTATTTTATTTCAAGTTAACGTTTTTGCTCAATTAAGTTCAAGCTCTTGTTCTCTTCTTCGTTCAGTTGATAGTCTGACGATTGTTATACCAGAAATTGTTCAACTTGCTATGCGTTATTATCATGCTTCATCATTTCCAAGTCAACATCATCGACAAAAACGTTTTTTATTTAGTGAAAATATACCAAAAAATGGTAGTTCTAGTGGCACTAAAGGTCGTGTAATTGAACAAATGATTGTTAATACACTACAAGATATTAATTTTACTAATGTTGCAATTTTAATACTAAATAATAATGAAACAATGAATAAACTTCGAAAAAATATTGATAATGAAGCAATTATTCAAATAATTTTACGTGAAATTGATTATGAAAAATTAGGTAGTGGTTTATGGTCTGCTGCTGAAAATAGTTTTGATTTAGAACATTTTGTTACCAGTATTATTAATATTACTCGTATAGATAAAATTCATGATGAACTTATTAAAAATGGTACTTTACCTGAATGGCTTTTAAAAAGTATTCATCCAGATTTAAATAGTGAAAAAATTCAACAAATATTTTCAACATTAAAAAATGTTACTCATAAATTTGTACAAGTTTTAAGTAAATCAGAACGATTTGATAATTATTTATTTAATATGATAACACAACAAGTTTTAACACCATTGAATAATATTATTCAAAATATAGAAGAATCTAAACCACAAACATTTAATCAATTAATTGAAATTATAATTAATAATGTCAATCGAGTAGCTATGGTAAATGAGATTTATTTTTATTTTTTTTTTTTGAAGAAAGTCTTTTGTTTTCTGTCATATCAGGAACAAATCACAACAACAACAACAACAAAGGTATCTGAAAAGAAATCATCAACATCAACTGTTGCAACAGTAGATCTTAATCATAGTAATGATGTTAAATTAATGCTCTATCAATGGTCAATTGCTGTGGATTCTATGGGACAAACAGTTCGAATTATATTAAAATCACTTGAAAAACTCTATTGTGCATCTCTATGGGAATAATAATTATTGAAGCTTTTTTTTT